ACAAAATGTCTATAGACATCTAACTGGTGGAGGGGTGAGTGTTTGCAGAGAACTGAGTGAGATACTTCTGGAGCACCTCTGTGGTAAGACATGCTGCACAGCTCTCGTATGGTGCTAGATGAGGTACTAGAATGTAAGCATTTCCTCTATAAATTAGGAAGGAAAGTCTAATATTCTAGAGAGGATGTGTCAGTTTCTCCACTGAAAATAATTTAGACCCCCTTGGAAATACTTTCTCTAGTTGGGCCTGAGAGTTATTTCCTCTTCCAGTTTCCCATTCACTGCTAATTCTTGTGGAACTTGTTACTCATGTCATGTTTTCTGGACTGGGCTATGCACAAATATACCTACTAAGGGATCTGAATGGCCATGAACTTCATAGCCTTGTGTGGGCTACTTTTGCTCATATCATCTGCCTACAGGATCTAGATAAGAGGTGCTGGGCCTTATTAATGTTTTTCTCTGCCTGAGTGACATGAGAACTGCTTCTTAACTACCTTGCCCAAGCCAGCTTCACACTTTTTCACTCCTCTCGAGTCGTGGTGCTACTTCTGTATTGTGCCAGAGGAGCAAACATCAGGCAACTTGCTTCAGGGAGCTGTTTGATAGTTGTGGGGGCTTCTTAGCACATGTTTGACATACTGGGACTGGGGGGCATTCCTTGCTGGAAAGGGCTTAATTATTGCAGTAGCTTCCCCCCTTCCCCTTACAAGATATCTGTGGCCTGAATCGATTTATTTGGACCTCAGAGTATGAGAATGAACCATGAAGTTCTAGTGTTATTAAGAGTTCCCTTCAGGTAGAGACGGATGTCTTTGGACCTGTGCCTCATTGTGAGAAGGTCGAGCATACATTCTTGGTTTGTTGTATGCCTGTAAGTGTTCCCTTGAACATTCTGGTTGGAAGAATTCCATCCTGTCTCTCACCAGGACAGGCTACTGTGGCCGGTGATAACAGAAATAGGTAACAAACTGGTTGTGTGTAGATGTGAGCTTGGGTGCATTTGTCAGACTCCTTGACTGAAATGGCACATCTCTCTAGGGTAGGATGTTTCCCTGCCCTGTAACTTCCAGAACATGGCCCAGGTGAGGGCTGCCCTGTGAGAAGGTTTGGGATTCCATGCTCCTTTTTCCACTGCCGCCTTGGTTGATTGCTATGGAGCTGAAATGTCTTCCTGTGCTAGGCTTGCTATATGTGCTGTGCTATTTTGAAGGAGAATGTCTTTTGTCAGGCATGTGATGATTTTTTAAATAAGTTTTTTTATTGTGAAAATACTGTACAGAAGGTTTACAGTTACATTAGAAGGTAATGAGTACATTTCTTATCAAGGATTTTTGCCTCCTCCTTTGTTTTTTCCCCTACCATCCTTTCCCTCCCACCTCCACAACTTGTGATGTTTTTATATTAATGCTGCTAGGTGCCTCTTGAGTTTCCTATCACAGGATTAGGGCTTCACGTGCTCATCAGGTTGTGTTGCTTTGTGAAACCATTCTCCTGTGCTCCAGTGTATCCAAACAGAACATGACTCATTCTTGGTGCTGGAAACCCAGCTTTGTATTAAGGACATCTTTTGGAGTCCTCCTTTTGCCATTCAGTATGACAGATCTGGTTCCAGGTTTGATGAAAACTTGGAACTCAGTATTCTCTCTTTTAGGATGTGTCTGATTTTTGAGCACATGGCCAGTTCAGGCTCCATTGATCTCACTCCAGCCCTCTAGACGCAGGCTTTATTTGAAACAGGGAGTAGTATAGCCAGATCGATTATCAGGCCAGCTACTTCCACCAACACAATTAGCCAGGGGGATCTATGGTCTCTGCTTGGGTGTTGTCACCTCAGCTGTGACCCTCCAAAGTCAGACTTCGCATGATGTGGATGCTACTCCAGACTTTTAGCTTCGTTGATACTTCAGGCACACGAGATGTTGTAATGGTATTGAGAGAATAAAACACAAAATGGCAACAGCCATTTTGAAGGATGGAGGACTGCTGAGGTTAGAAACTGAGGAGCCTTTTGTTCTGGGTGTTTCTAGGACCTGATCATCTACATCAAGGAAAGGGAAGACTTGGTCAGGCTTGAGGTTGTTGCTAAAGACAGCTTCTAGTGAGTACATGGGATATTTAGTGTCTTCCATACTGATCTGTTACCACTGCTATTCAAAGGGTTATGATTTACTGCATGGTAGGAGACAATTGCAGCTTCTGGAGGTGGCCCATTCAGTTCAGCTTGGCATAAAATGGTTTGAACCTTATCAGAATGAGGAGGATATTGTCACCTGACTTTGTAATTTTTGACCAATGTTGGCCAGTGAAGTTGGCCGATTGAGGCCATTTCATCTGTGCCGTCCAGCACATCTATAGGATTTGCAGGATGGCAGCTATAGAGAGGCATAAAAGATCTCTCCTTCCACCAACGTAGCAAGACCCAGTACTGCATTTGATGTTACCTTGCATGAAAGAGAATGATTTTCCAATTACAGTGGAGCATTGTGAAAACTGCAGAAGTACCCTGGTCTACTGAAGCTTAGAATTTGAATCGCCCTTAAAGAAGCCATGGTTGGAAGTGGCACTGTGGCTCAAAGCGTTAGAGTGCAAGTTTTGAGCAAAAAGAGCTCAGGGGCAGTGGACAGGTATAAGCGCTATGACTGACAAAAAAAAAATGCCTTGGTCAGTACCTGTCTGCCTCCAGTTGGGGAAGAGAGACAATAAACACAAATCTCAGCACAGAAAGGGCACCTGATTGGGTCTGGGTCTAGCCTGTGGTGGATGAGTGACTTGGTCCCCTTTGATTTCTAGATGGCATAGAGGTCTCTATAGGCTGAAGAGGGTAGCAGGGAGCACAGTTTTCATGATCAACTCTGATTTGTTTGTCAATTGTTGAAGGCAGCAGTGGATAGCACAGAAGAGTCTTCAAACTTGGTGTAGAGATAGGCAGGAGGCCTTATCTTGCTGCTCTGACCAAAACCGGTTTCGGCATTTGGTTGTAGAATTCTCTATATTACTCTCCTGATTTTTAAGTAATATTTCAAAAATCGAAAGGTTTTCTTGGTCTCTGGACAGACTGAAAAGTTGGAATTGTTTAGATTTTCTCTTAAAGAACCAGTTTGTCTATCCCACTACTGAGCTGCTCGGCCTGCCCAGTCTTGTCTTTTAGGCTCTATGGTTTCTGTGGAGATGTTACAAATGACAGGATTTTTAGCAACATGGTCCTCTTCTTCCTGATGCCATTATGTAGATGTTGTACTAAAACAATATCCCTCTGGAATCAAGACAGTCTGTGCAGTGGAGTTGATGTCAGTGCATTGTTTTAAAAGGCCATGTCGGGGCTGAGAAGGTGGCTCAGTGGTTAAAGCGCTTGCCTTGCATGCCTGAGGCCCTGGGTTCGATTCCTCAGCACCACATAAGCAAAAAGAAAAAAGCCAGAAGTGGCGCTGTGGCTCCAGTGGTAGAGCGCTAGCCTTGAGCTGAAGAGCTGAGGGACCGCGCCCAGGCCCAGAGTTCAGGCCCCACGACCGGACCCCAAAAAAAAAAAAAAAAAAAAAGGCCATGTCATGGGCAGAAGCTGGATAGAAATTTCCAATAATTTCTAGTAATGAGAAAGTCCATGTAGCTTTGGTCAGATGCCAGGGGAGTTCCCCAAGACAACAGGTTCTCCATCTCCTTTGCTGGTTTACCTAAATGTCTAAGGGCTGATTTTTCTCCCCCTTCTCAATTTGAGGGAAATCTCTGAAGCTGTTGAATGTGACTAACAACTGGAAGTCCTTATCCTCCTGCAGGTGACTTGTGCATGGTTTAAGTGCCCTGGTTTCCTTTGTTTGCATGCATATGTTCAGACACATTTGGATATCTCAGTGGCTATGTGACTCCCAGTTGGCTTTTGAGCAGAACAGATGCAAGTGTTTTCATGCAAGTCAGAACAAAGGAGTAATGGGGCTATCCTTTGTCATTGTTTAAGCATTTTGGTACACCCCTTCCCCAAATGAGATAAACGTATATACAAGACAGAGTACGGAAATCAAAGACTGATTGCCAGGGATAGGCCAATGGAAAAAGAAAAATGAAATAAAATTAAAAAAAAAAAAAACTAGATACAGCACGCTGGTTACAAGTTCAACCAAATAAAGACAAAGGAGTGGGTAACAATGTTTGACAAGAAGTATCTTACTCATGCAACTTCATGTAACCGTAACCCTTTCTTAGCACATATTTCCAATTAAAAAGAAAAAGTGAAGGAACATCAAGCACTGAACAACTTGAGTTGAGCAGGGTTTTTTCCTTCTGGTGTTCAGATGGCATCTTTTGTTCAAAGGGAGACAAGAAATGGGAAAGGGCACATGAATCTTCTCATGAATCTTTCAGCTTTTACAAACAATTACTCTAGATCATTCCTCGGGTCATCTAGCAAACCCTTGGCTGATTCTAGATTGTTCTAGTTGGTTTCCATTTTGAGAGGATGTGCCCAGGCTGCGGGGCTGAGTGGAGCCAAAGAGGCGGGTGAGGGCTCAGCCAGCTCACGTCCACTTGGGATGTTATAACTGTTCCCTGGAGATGGGATGTTATTGCTGTTTTCAGACAACTCTTCAGGCTTTATTAGCACATTAATTGTACAGTGGAGCTTCATCTATTCTGTGCCTACATCCATAAAAAAGGTTCTTTGGTAGAATTCACTATTTTTTTTTCAATCCTTCCACCTCTCCCTTTCTGTTGCTGTTTTGGTCATACTGGGCCATCTGCTTACAGGCCCCACTTCCAGCCCTTATTCCTTTAGTTTGTCAGATAAAGTCTGAACAGTCTCAGCTCAGTCCTCCCAAGCCTCAGCCTCCTGCATAGCCGACATTACAGATGTGTGCTATAATGCTCGAGTTTGGGACCCTAAAGAGACCACAAGAGACCAAGATCGATGTAATCAGCAGCGAGGTGTTTATTGTGAGCTAGCCGGTCCTCTGTGCACACAGCACACAACCGGTGACGCTGAGAGGCCCCAACCTAGTGTTTGCAGCAGTTTTATACACTTTTGGCAAGGCTGGGGCTTTGCACTCATCATCATCATCATATCATTTCTTGACAAATCAACACACACTTCGAGAGAATCATAAAACATCTCTAAAACATGATTTGCGTGTCCAATGGCGGGAAGGAATCTAGAAAGGATTATTGGTCAGATCAAGGGGTTGATGCACTTTAAAATTTTTGGTTAAGTCACAAGGGTGGTGCAAGGGAGTACCTGCAGAACTGCAGGACTTTTTTGTTAGATTTTGGTCACCACTCCTATATCTGGAATCACAGACAATTCCACCTCCGGCTTATCTTAGGTAAACATCACCTGCAGTTTTCCAAGTACTGTTTGCACATAGCTTTTTGGAATTTTCTGGCTTTAGGACTGCAGTAGTTCAGAGGTTAAATTCCAGAATAAAATGAGGTCCCTGGTAAACTAATGGTCAGGTCTTTCAGTGCCTCCTTCCGTTCTCTTCAAGATTTTGTGTGTGTGTTCTCCAGTGCCAGTGCTGGGGCTTGAACTCAGGGCCTAGATACTGTCCCCTAGATTTCTTGAGCTACTGCTCTACCCCGTAAGCCACAGCTCCACTTTTGGCTTTTTGCTGTTTAACTGGGGATAAAGAGCTTTACCAACTTCTGCACGGGCTGACTTCAAACCATGAATCCTCAGAAATCAGCCTTCTCATTAGCTAGGATTACAGGTGTAAGCCACCCACACCTGGCTAGTCAAAATTCATTTTACAGTAAAGAAAAATATACATCTATAACTATAATCAAAATAGGGATATATAAATAAGGATATAGACATATAGATTCTAGATGCAAATGGGTAAGTACTATGGTTCTTCTGTATTTCTAGGTTCTTAAAGTAATCATGTTTACCTGGTGTAGGAGGGCTGGCAGGGGCGGGGCAGGAGGAATGGGGAGTTAATGTTTAATGGGAAGAGGAAGTTCTGGAGGTGGAAGCTATGTGGATTACAGACAATGTAAGTTAAGTGGATATTACCTGATTGAACTTAAAGCAGGTTAAAATGGAAGCATGTTATGCGTATTTTCCCACAATTGAAAATACTGTACGTCCATCGGAGCTTCGGCCTACTCCATCTAGCCCCTGGGAGCTCCAGTTCTTGCAAGTTTTGGCCTTGGCGGTGCTGGGCTCCGAGCGTGCCCCGTGCCTGGCAGCCATACTCTGGAGTATGTCAACTCTTGAAGCATGGAGAGCTCCTAGCAAACACCCTAAATCCCAGCCCACATGCAGTTCCTGTCCCAATGACTCCTATCTTCCCTTGCCTGACCAATCACCAGTGTAGATTGGTTGGTGGGACCTTGTGACTGGCAGCCACTGCCTGTCCCTGCCCAGCTGGCCTATATAAGCTAGTTGGCTCTGTAATTAGGATTTTCCCCTATTCACTGCAGGAGAGGGAGGAGAAAGTGGGGAGGGGGGGAAGGGGGAAAGATAATGGGCACACAGAATACAAACCCAATCTTTTTTTTTTTTTTGCCAGCCCTGGGGCTTGAACTGGGACTGGGCACTGTCCCTAAGCTTTTCATGCTCTCAGCTGGCACTGTACCACTGGAGCCACAGCTCCACTTAGGCACTTTTGGTGGTTAATTGGAGATGAGAGTTTCGTGAACTTTCCTGTCTGGGCTAGCTTCAAACTATGAACCTCAGATCTCAGCCCTCTGAGTAGTTGGGATTACCGGCCTGAGCAACCAGTGCCCGGCTTACCTTGTCATTTTAATGTGTTCAGTTTGGTAGCTTTTGTGTATGTATGTGCCAAAACTGAGGCTTGAAGTCCGGGACTTGAGCTCTTGTTTGGCTTTCTCTTTTTTGCTCACAGCTGTCTGTAGTATTTTGAATACTCAAATGTTGCCAGACCAACGCTGCCATCTTCCTAAACCTTATTGTCATTCATTCCAAAAGGAACCCCTATCCCTTTAGCAGTGACTTCTATTCCTCCTCCTGCTAATCCCTACTGCCTTTCCTTTGAGGAGGTTCTCTGTAGACAGTCATACCATAGGGGTCCTTTGGTGTCTGGCTCTTTTACTTAGCTGTCTTCTAGATTCATTTGTGCTGTCGCAGGTATTAGAACTAGATTCCTTTTTTTTTTTTTTTTTGTCGGTCATGGGGCTTGAACTCAGGTCCTGGGCATTTTTACTCAAATTTTGCTCTCTATTACTTTGATCCACAGTTCCACTTCCGGTTTTCTGGTGGCTAATTGGAGATAGAGAATCGTGGACTTCCTGCCTGGCCTGGCTTTGGACCTAGATCCTCATGGATCCTCAAATCTCAGCCTCCTGAGTAGGATTACAGGCATAAGCCACCAGCACCCAGCTAGATTCCTTTTTTTTTTTTTTTTTTTTGGGTCCAGTCGTGGGGCCTAAACTCTGGGCCTGGGTGCTGTCCCTCAGCTCTTCAGCTCAAGGCTAGCACTCTACCACTTGAGCCACAGCGCCACTTCCGGCTTTTTTTCTTTTTGCTTATGTGGTGCTGAGGAATTGAACCCAGGGCCTCATGCATTCAAGGCAAGCACTCTACCACTGAGCTACCTTCCCAGCCCTAGATTCCTTTTTTATGCCCCAATAATATTCTGTTGAAGTGCACAATTTGTTGATCCATTCATGCACTGGCTACTTTGACCCATGAATATTCTAAGCAAAACCACTTGGCCAGATGTGAGCTAATGTCTCACCTGTTGTCCAGAGCTCCTCATGGTCCAGCAAAGAACCCAGCCAGCCTGGTCCTTTACCACACTTTTTTTTTTGCCAGTCCTGGAGCTTGAACTTAGGACCTAGGCACTGTCTCTGAGTCTCTCTGTGCCCAAGGCTAGTGCTCTACCACTTGAGCCACAATACCACTTCTGGCTTAGTTTCTGAGTCTTTTATTGGAGATAAGAGTCTCACAGAGCCGGGCGCCAATGGTTCAAGCCTGTAATCCTGGCTACTCAGGAGGCTGAGATCTGAGGATCTCGGTTCAAAGCCAGCCCAGGCAGGAAAGTCTGTGAGACTCTTATCTCCAGTAATCCACTAGAAAACCGGAAGTAGTGCTGTGGCTCAAGTGGTAGAGCACTCACCTTGAGCTGAGGGACAGTGCTCAAGCCCAGAGTTCAAGCCCCACGACCGACCAAAAAAAAAGAAAATAAAAGCGTCTCACAGACTTTCCTGCCCTGGGCTGGCTTCTGTGATGCTCAGATCTCAGCCTCCTGAGTAGCTAGGACTATAGGTGTGAGCCACTAGCACCCAGTTTTTACCATACTTTGAGTCTATTAGGTAATAATTGAAAATAGCCAGGCACCAGTGGCTCACACCTATAATCCTAGCTACTTTGGAGGGTGAGATCTGAGGATCATGGTTCAAAGCCAGCCCTGGCAGGGAACTCCACAATACTCTTATCTCCAAGTAGAGTTGTGGATCAAAATGATAGAGTACTAGCCTTGAGCAAAAGAGCTCAAGGACAGTGCCTGGCTTGAGTTCAAGCCCCACCTCCAACAACAAAATAAAAGACTAAATGCTAAGCTGAAGAGGTTAAGTGTTTGCCTAGCAGGATAGCAGCCCTGGGTTCAATCCACAGTAGCCCCCTTCCCCCACAAAAGGGCATATTTGATCCCCAGTACCATAAAGAAAGAAAGGAGTATTTTTTTTCTTTTTTTCTTTTTTTTGTCTTTTGTTTTTTGGTACTGGGGCTTGAACCCAGGATGTTGTACTTGCTAGGCAAGTGCTTTGCCACTAAGCTACATCCCAGCCCAGGAGTATTTTTTTTTTCTTTTTGTCAGTCCTGGGGCCTGAACTCTGGACCTGGGCCCTGTCCCTGAGCTTTTCAGCTCAAGGCTAGCACTCTACCATTTGAGCCACAGCACCACTTCCAACTTTTTCTGCTTATGTGGTGCTGAGGAATCAAGCCCAGGGCCTCTGCATGCAAGGCAAGTGCTCTACCACTGAGCCACCTTCCCAGCCCCAATTTTCTGAAAAATATTCTTAAAAACAAGATTCAAAATTCTGTACTTATCATTCACAGTTTTTAAAAGATTCTCCTATTTTCTTTTTTTCTCGTAGGAAAAAACTTTCTGTGTAACAGAAATAGCATAAACAGCATTAAACATTCTAACCTAAAAGAATGACAGATAGGTGGTTAAGGCTCATACCTGTAATCCTACCTACTCAGGAGGCTAAGATATGAGAACTGAGGTTCAAAGCCAAGAGCCAATGAAACTTATGGCTAACCACCAAAAGCCAGAAGTGGAGCTAAGGCTTAATTGGTAGAGCACTGACCTTGAATGAAAAAGCCAGGGGACAGTGCCCAGTCCTTGAGTTCAAGCCTCAGTACTGGCACACACAAAAAAGTCTACCCAAATTCTTTAAGGTAGGCAGGTACCTAATGGTCTTTAAGAAGCCTTCTGGCCAGAAGTGGTGGCTCAGGACTGTAATCCTAGCTACACAGGGAGCGGAGGAAGGAGAATCAAGGTCAGTCTGGTCAAAAAGCAAAGGTAGTAAAGCAAAAGGGTCTGGAGGCGTGGGTCAAGTGGTCCAGCAAGTGTAAGGAGGCCCTGGGTTCATCGAGCTTCTAACAATCCCTTGTCCATTTCCCGAGGCAGCCACCAGCAAAGCCCGGGCCACCAGGAAGAGCCAGCTGGATGTCCCCTATGGAGATGGGGAAGGGGAGAAAGTAGACATTTACTTTCCTGATGTGGTATCTGAAGGTAAGCAAAGTGGGCTGCTAGCCTGTGGCCGCCCCCCAGGGCCCAGCCTGGCCCAGGGCCCAGCCCCACCCAGGACCCTCTGTTTATTCTTGCAGCTTTGCCTTTCTTCGTATTTTTTCATGGAGGATACTGGCAGAGTGGAAGGTGAGCTGGCAGGTTCAGATGAATGCAGATTGGGTCTCGCAGGAGCAAGGTTTAGCACATGGCCAGTGCGCCATCAGAAGCGAGGCCTCTGGGCTCAATGCTTTCTCAAAACTTTCTTCAATGTTTGGGCTTTTATAAACTTGTGTTCCTTACCCCTCACTGCACATGTACAGGCTGTAACTCAGCAAGCCTGGTTCCAACCACACCAGTGTATGCACTCACACCTCAGAGGCTAGGAGTCAGGCATGGGGCGCCGCGGGGGTCAGGCTGTCAGGGTGGGGTCTTTCCAGCCCCTATCGCTTCTAGTGGTCTCTTGGGTCCTCTGCCCACAGCCCACAGTGTCTGGGTCTTAAGTCTCCCTCTCTTTTTTTTTTCTTCATTGTGGGCGTCATTCACACTTGTATATAATATAGTCACCGATTTCGCACTCTTTCCTGGGGTTCCCCCACCCCTGTACCTCTATTGCTCCCTTGCCTTCAGTGAGTTCATCTTCATAGACACCATGGGTTTCCATATTATGTGTCCTCCACCATTCTTACCCCTCCTCCTCCCTCTTGTCTCTTGTCCCCCCCCCAGTAGTCCTGTTATGCTTACGTTCTCTTCTTCCTCCCTACACACACACACACACACACACACACACACACACACACACACACACGAATATATAACTGTATCTTTTACAGTCTGTATTTTGCAAATGAATGGAAAATATTCAGTATTTAGCTTCTTGGCCTAGGTGCTTGTTTTTGCTCAGTGCTAGCACTCTACTACTCGAGCCACAGTACCACTTCCAGTTTTCTCAGTGGTTCACTGGAGATCAGAGTCTCACAGACTTTCCTGCCAGGGCTGGCTCTGCACTGCGATCCTTAGCTCTCAGCCTCCTGAGTAGCTAGGATGACAGGCATGAGCCACCGCCACCTGGCTTGGACATACTTTTTTGGGGAAACACTATTCACACCACACCCACCCAGAGGGAGATGGATTTGGCCAACTGCTGATCAAGAAAACCAGAGTGGCCAGCTGTCTCAGTAGTGTGCTCAGGAGCAAGAGGACACGGGGCTTTCAGTGCTCAAAGAGGAACGGCACAGCCAGGTGCTGGTAGTTTACGCCTATGGTCCTAGCTTGGTTCAAAGCCAGCCCAAGGACAGAAAGCCAAGCCTGAGAGACTCTTACCTCCAGCTACTCACCAAAAAAAGCTGGAAATGGAGCTGTGGATCTGTGGTAGAGCACTAGCCTTAAGCAAAAAAGCTCAGGGACAATGCCTAATCCTGAGTTCAAGCCCCAGGACTGGCACATAGCTAAAAAGGTAGCCCTTAGATAAAAAGGCAATGTTTGCCTCTGTTGTTCTAGCACTTTCTTTTTTTTTTTTTTTTTATTGTAAAGCTACTATACAGAGGGTTACAGTTACATGAATGATGTTCTAGCACTTTCTGAGGGAGTCCTGCCTCCTGATTGTAGCTGGGATTACAGATATGAGCCACTGCTTCTGGCCAACATATTCACCTTACTGCAGAGATCTTTGAACCCCTCATCTGAAGCTCTCAAAAGCAGGGAACATTATAAGAAGGCACATAGTTGGGCACCAGAGGCTTATGCCTGTAATCCTAGCTACTCAGGAGGCTGAGATCTGAAAATCACAGTTCAGATTAAAAGCCAGTCTGGGCAAAAAAGTCCCTGAGACTCTTATCTCCAATTAACCATAAAAAGACTGGAAGTGGGGCTATGGCTCAAGTGATAGAGCACTAGCCTTGAGCCAAAAAGCTCAGGGACAGTGTCCAAGCCCTGAGTTCAAGCCTCAGTACCGGCGTGTGCGCACATATGCACACAGGGGACATAACTGTTGGGATTTTACTGGCAAGGGAACCAGGCTTAGAAGTTAAAGTCCCAGAGTTCCCTTGGCTAACATACAACATGATGAGGACGCAGCTTTCCCCCTATCCTACCATGACACGCAGTGTGTCCTGGACTTAGGGGGGACAGGACCAAGGCCAAGTGGCCTCCACTGTTACCTCTTGTCTCTGCAGTAAAGACCAGTCTGCCTTCATGGTCAACCCACTGACAGCACATGGGGTGGCCGTGGTCATCGTGGCTTATGACATTGCCCCCAAAGGTACCAAGGGTGGGCTTTGCCAGTTCAAGGGCCAGGGGGCTCCTTTGCAGGGAGACAACTTCCCAGTGGATCCTGACTCGGCCCCTGCTCTTTGTTCAGGCACCATAGACAAGATGGTGGACCAGGTGGCCCGCAGCATCGCCTTCGTGCAGAAGAGGTTTCCAGAGAACAAGTGGGTGTCACCGCAGCGCTCTGCTGGGCTGTGCCAGGCGGGTGGAAGCAGCCATGCTGCCCCTGTGGCCTGCGGTCCACGGGCAAATCCGGGCCGCTGATGCCTTGGGGAAAGAAATACAAACCCACCTCTCTGTCTGACCTATCCTAGAGGCATTTTCCTGTGTGGACACTCAGCCGGGGCTCAGCTGGCTGCCATGATGCTCTTGGTTAACTGGTCCACGCATGGAGTCACACCCAGTCTCAAAGGTTTCTGTGGGGACTGCAGGCGCCCTTGGGCCATCAGCTCCAAGTCCTCATAGTCACGAGTGGCTTGATCCTGGAGCTTTGAGCCGCAGGAGTGTCTTTGCCTTCTCTCTGTCCCCTCCCCGCCCCGCCCCCAAGCTTGCCTCTCTGACCTGAAGGCTCACCTGGTCCCTGTCCCCAAGCCTTCCTTTACCTCCGTAGGGTTTTTCCTGATGAGTGGAATCTATGATCTGGAACCTCTCCTGTCCACCTCCCAGAATGCCCCTCTCCACATGACACCGTGAGTCACCTGCCTTTCCTTCCCTGCTGACCTAGGGGCTGGCTGTGCCTCTGTCCTGACCCTGGTCCCCCTCCCAACCCACCAGGGAGGATGCTCGGAGGAACAGCCCACAGCAGCACCTGGAGGTGGCCCCGGTGAAGCCTGGGAATTCTACCTGCCCTGTGCTGGTGATTGTGGGTCAGCACGACTCCCCAGAATTCCACCGGCAGTCCTGGGAGTTCTATGAGGTATCTGGCTGGCGGTCAAGCTCATGTGACCTCATTACTTTCCCTGTTAAATACTTCCTGTGTCCTGACCTGCCAGGCACTGTGGGAACCATCTCCCCACGCCTACCCTCCCCCACCCCAGCCTCAGACAGCCCTCATCTCCCTCGTCTCTCCTACCCAGACACTGTGCCAAACAGGGTGGAAAGCCTCATTTGAAGAACTGCCCAGCGTGGATCACTTCGAAATCATTTGGAATCTGACCCGGGAGGAGGACAGACTCAACCAGGTAGGGCCAGGCCCTCCCACAGGAACGGCAAGGGGCCCCATCTCCAAAGTTAAAGGTAAATGAGAGCAACACTTGCCATGAAATTGGCAAATGTAGAGGTAATCTTTTGCCTTTTTGCTTTTTTCTGCGTAAGGGGCATTCGTTAGCTTGTTTTTGTCTTGGTTTTTCAGCGTGTTTTTTTTTGTTTGTTTTGCCAGTCCTAGGACTTGAACTCAGGGCCTGGACGCTGTCCCTGGGGTTCTTTTGCTCAAGGCTAGCACTCTACCTGCCCCTTGAGCTACAGCACCACTGGGTTTTTTGTTGCTTTGTTTTTTTGTTTTTTTTGTAGTGTGGTACTGAGGCTAGATGCCAGGGCCATGCCAGGCTAGTGCTCTATACTGAGCTACACTCTTAGCCAACTACTTTATTTTGGGGGAGCCCGGTCCTGGAGCTTGAACTCAGGACCTGGGCACTCTACCACTTGAGCCACAACTCCACTTCTGGCTTTGTTGTTGGCTAATTGGAGAGAAGAGTCCCATGAACTTTCCTGCCCAGGGTAGCTTCAAACTGTGATCCTCACATCTCAAGTCTCCTAAGCTGTGATTGCAGGTGTGAGACAGCAGTGCCCAGCTTTCTTTTCTTTTTCCTTCTTTCACAGGATAAACACCCATAAAAACTTAAAACCCTAAGAAACAATACCCCATGTCTTTAAGCTGTTACTCCAGTTCCAGGGCTCTCGTCTTTTCTTGTACTGTAGATCATTCTGAAAACCATCTTCAGTAGGGCTGCAAGCCCTCTGCTTCCCAGAAAGCCTTTGGAGGTAAAGGCACAGCACTGACCTGCGCACCTGGCTCTGAGGTTCTGCTCCCTGCTGTGAATGTGGCTAATGTTCTTCCAAGTTCCCCTGGCCCCAGCCTTGAAGAAGCTTCAGGCAATATCCACAGTTCAATCTGAGATGCCTGAAGCCACCACTTGGCCATGTCTGGCCCTTCTGCCTACTGACAGGGTGTGTGTGACAAAATGACTTCTCTCTGGAGTGACTTGTGGAAGCTATGAATACCAAAAACGGAGCTGCTGGGGCCAGGAAGAGGATGAGTGTTTGCTCAGCATATGTGAGGCCAAGTTCCATCCCCAGCACTTGGGAAAAAAGTGAATAAGGAGTCTTAAACTAGGAACTGGTTGTTGATGCCTTGATCCTAGCTAGTGAGGAGTCTGAGATTTGAGGATCATGGTTTGAAACCAGCCTAGAGAGGAAAGCCTATGAGATGCTTATCTCCAATTAAGCACCAGAAAGGCAGAAGTAGAACTGTGGCTCAAGTGGCAGAGCACTAGCCGTGAACTTTTGCCCAAGCCCCAGGAACAAAAGGAGCCTTCCCGCCTGTGTGCCTCTAAACTACTGCCATGAAGTCCTTGAGTCAAAAGCATTCCAGACAAGTAGCACGCACCAGCACTTGTGTGAATGTTTTCTCCACCAGACCCAGCCAACCTCTGTGACAAGCTCTGCAAACAGTCGTTTCCCAACAGCTGGTGTGAGTCAGGTACTAGTGGTTCATACTAATCCTAGCTACTCAGCAGACTGATATTTAGTGGATGATGGTTCAAGTCCAGCCCGACAGGAAAGTCTGAGGAACTCCTAAAATAACCAGCAATAAGCTGGGCTAGAAATGAGGCTTAAGTGGTAGAGTGACAGACAAGTGATCGTAAGGCCCTGAGTTCAAATCTGTGCCAGCAATAGCTGGTGTGGATTCTTCCTTTTTTGCCAGTCGTGGGGGCTGGGCGCTGTCCCCCAGCTCTTCAGCTCAAGGCTAGAACCCTACCACTTGAGTCACAGCACCACTTCCAGCTTTTTTTCTCCTTATGTGGTGCTAAGGAATCGAACCCAGGGCCTTATGCATGCAAGGCATGCGTTCTACCACTGAGCCACCTTCCCAGCCCCCCTTTACTTCTTTTTTTTCTATTCAAGGCTTTCCTGTCACAACTGGCAGGTCTTCCCCTCACTCTCCTGTGAGCCTGCCATGGTGGTGGCCTGGCCCCCGTCTTCTGGGGGCAAAAGGGGGCTCTCCTGGAGACCCAGGCCTCAGCACGCAGTAGTGTCAGCTGTGTCTCTGCTCTCCTTCCATAATTACAAATTGTATTTGTATTTTCATTTTTGCTTTTATGCAGAGGTAGGGCCAAATCAAACTGCTTTCTAGCTGTAGCAGGACATGCTATGGCCTGCTGGAAGTTCTTTGGCTGCCCAGCATCCTGAACCCACCCACCCCACCCCTGGATTGATCCTAACACTTGACGGCACCCTGACTTCTGTACCTTCCAGGTTTCCTCCTAAGGCTTTGGGCCTTCATTTGTTCAGCTATCAAATCCTCTGGCAGGTATCTCAACAGACAGAGTCCAGCATGTCGACATAGGTCCAACCACGTAAAGAAATTTATTGAATAAACAACATGGGAGTAACTGGCTAGACCTGGGAAAACATAAATCTGAACCCTTTCCACAGCTCTTTCTCGTTGACTTTCTTCCCCAGGGGGCCAAGACTTCAGTATAAAAACCCAGACCATGGAAAAAACCCAAATCTTTTAGGAATATCTTTGTAAATCACCTTAGAGTGTAAAAAGCTTTTCAGAGCACACAAAAACTTGAGGTCAGAAAGGAAATAAATATGACTGTAAAAATCTCAAATTTGCCATGTGTTGGTGGCTTATGCCTGTAATCTTAGCTGAGATTTGAGGATTATGGTGCTAAGCTAACCCAGGCAGGAAAGTCCATGAGATTCTTGATTCCCAATTCACTACCAAAAAACCAAAAATGGCACTGTGATAGAGTGCTAGTCTTGAGCAAAAACAAACCCCCAGACAGCATCCAGGCCCTGAATTAAAGCCCCAGGACTGGCACCAAAAAACAACCCTCAATCTTTTTCTGGACAAAAAAAGATGCCAGGATGTCAAAAGACAAAGAACAATGAATGTGTATGCCTGTGAGGCTGGGTGCCTCAAATCTAAGACCCTTCCCAACCAAAAGGAAGCCACCAGGAAGGACAGCACAGGACTAGCAGGCTTGGGCAAATCCCAGGCAAGAAATCACATTGACCCCAAGAGGTGCTCCACTTCCATCAGACAGACCAATGAAAACAAGCTATTGTGTACTCTGGTGGGCAAAGATCAAAATGGATGCTGTTATTCAGTGCTGTGGGTAAACAAGACCTCTGGGAACATCAAATAGTCTTGACCTTTCTGCACGACAATAGGCAATCAAAGCAGCACAACCTTACACTAGCCCCCCATTCCACCCCGTGGTCTTTGATAGTCTCTGAGCATGTAAGGCTCAGATTTTCCCCCACCAGTAAGTGGGAGGAGTTGATGACATATATGTCACTCTGGAGTGATACATCTGGTTCCCCAGTGCTGACCACCTCCATGTCCTCAGACTCCAACAGAAGCCTGAGGTCTTGGGACCTCCAGCTGAGCTCCTTCCTAAGCCTGTTCACTGTCCTCTCCAGAGAGCATTTCTGCTCTGCTTTGACTTGACATTAATAAGCTTCCTCCTCTGTGTCCTTGAATTCTTTCTTGAACAAGACCAAGAACTTTCTGGCTGGGATCCATGGACCTAAATCCAGTGAGAGGTTCACAAAATTGACAATGTTCTTGTTAATCTGAAAAATAAACCCAAGCTACCAGCTTATCAAATTCATGCTGTTGGCAGATGAACAAAAACAAAATTTGTTAACAGCTAAAGCTGCATAGTAATGTCTGCTAAACTTGATACAAGCCTCAGGTGTTTCTAAGTTTTTATTTTTTGCTGGTCCTGAGGCCTGGACTCAGGGCCTGGGTGCTGTCCCTGAGCATCTTTTGCTCAAGGCTAGTACTCTACCACTGGAGCTACAGCTCCACTTCTGTCTTTTCTGATGGTTAAGTGACTAAGTTTCATGGCATTTCCTGCCTAGGCTGACTTTGAACCACAATCCTTAGATCATGGCCTCCTGAGTGGCTAGGATTACAGGAGTAAGCTAACAGCACCTAGCAAGACATTTTGGTAAACAGTTTACCAATGTTAAATGTTACTGTTGTATAGAAGTAACAATAAAACTTTTTAATTTAAAGTAAAAGATCTAAGCAACTCAAGTTTTCAGTGAAAGATGAAAAAACTTTGGAATTTACTTGTGTCAAACAGGAAATGATGACAGGAATCCATTTGCTTGATGGGAGTTGATTCTGGATGGTAACTTTTTTGCAATAAATGTCAGTATTGGTGGGTGCTAGGGAGGAAAGAGGCAGGGTCAGCACCCGTAGGGACAAGAAGGCAGAGCAAGCTGTGTTCCCTGATTATGGCTGAGATGGGTGTAGTTTACACAATCTCTTTGGAGGACAGATTAACTGTGCACAAACACTTTGAAAAGGAGTACATGCATTTTCTAGCCATCTCCAACAAAGTGTATCCTACTCAGAGTTGCACATTTGCATATGCTTATCTCCTGCTGTTCAAGTCCCATAGTAAAAGGAGCTGGAGGAAAATGGGTTAAAGTCAGTAGGCATGTCAGAGTTTGAGTTCTCTGTGATTTCCTGCTACCTGAGTAGGCAAGGTACCAAATAAGAGCATAGAGTATATCCCTACTCATATACACGTATCTGTAAGGACATATAAGTTGCTGAAGCCAGATGCCAGGGACTCATTCCTGTAATTCTAGCTACTCAGGAAGCTGAGATAAGGACCAAGGTAGAAACCTGCCAGGGTAGAAAAGTGTGAGACTTACCTTCAATTGCCAGGGAAAAAGAAGCTGGACTACAGATATGTCTCAAGTGGTTTAGTACCAGCCATGATCCAAAAAGACAAATGAGAACTGTCCCAAGTTCCTTGTTCAAGCCCCAATGTCGCTACAAAAAAAAAAAAAAGTTGCTGAAAAGCCTTTGAAGACGAGCTAGAGGTTCTGAGTAACACATTTCTGCCTTTCCTATGCAACCCAGACTAGCCAGGAACTCATTATGATGCTCAGGCTAGGCTCAGATTCCTTTTTTTTCTTTTTGTGCCAGTACTGGGCTTGAACTCAGCTTTTTCACTTAAGGCTGGAGCTTTACCACTGGAGCCATAGCTCCACTTTTGGCTTTTTGGTAGTTAACTGGAGATGCAAGAGTCTTAGAAACTTTCCTGTCCTGGCTAGTGTGAGTCACCAGTACCCAGCTGGGTCTGAATTCATCATCCTGTCTCCACCTCCCAGAGTTTGGATTATAGCTGTGTATCACCATGCTTGGTTTTTCATTAGAACTTTTTTCTTCTTCTTCACTGTTGATGTGCTTTACTCTTATAAAACAGGACATTTTGTTGCTGTTAGAACTCAGCAAAATAAAATTCCGTTTATTTTTGGACAACATGGTTTCACATATATATCAAACAGGCCCAAAACAAAGATCTTTTGCTGTTTAACTCTCTAGCTTATATAAGTACATACACAAAAAAGTTACAGGGAAGGGGGCAATGTTTAGAATAAGCATGAATCTAATGTGCTGTTCTCCAGCTGCTGCTGTCAATCATGGTGTAGGAAAAGCAAGACACTGCTCACCACTTGTGACACTGGCCCGACGGCTTGGGTCAGGACACCACTACACACAACTGTTTCCCTATCAGGATGATTTCATACCCTTTGGTAAAATAGCACTGCCCTGAACCCGTTAGAAGAAAAAGCTCCCTGTTTCAAGGTGGGCAAGATGGCTCATGCCTCTAATCCTAGCTACTTAGGAGGCTGAGATCTTAGGATCGAAGTTCAGGTAAGCCAGCCCGGGCAGGAAAGATCACGAGGCCTTTTTTTGTGTCCTGGGGCTTGGACTCAGGGCCTGGTTGCTGTCCCTGAGCTTTTATGGACATTCTACCACGTTGAGCCACTGCTCCACTTCCGGCTTGGGGTGGTTCAAAGCCCGGTCTGGCTTTGACCACGAAGCTCGGCCTCCTGAGTAGCCACCAGCGCCCGGCTTGACCAGGAGGCTTCCCTACAACTACCCACCAAGAGGCTGAGGTGGAGCTGTGGCTCGGGTAGAGCGCTACGGCCTTGCAGAAAGGCTCCGGGCCCGCAGCACGCAGGCCTGGGCGCAGGTCTCACCACCGGCTCCGCACGCAGCCCCCGGCCGCTCCCACGGCGGCCTGCCCACCTCCCACAGGCCCGCTGGCGGGGACCAACCCGCGGGAGGGGCGGCCCTCACCAGGGCGCGGGCGTCCGCACAGGCCTTCCGGCGCGCGGGAGCGGGCTGGGCCTCCGCCTCGCCGGGGAGTGCGCCCCGGGGCCGACCGCCGACCGCGGCCTCCGCCGGGCCCGGCCCCTCGGCCGAGCACTTCCGGTGTGGGGAGGGGGGGATCCTCCGGCCGGCGCGCCGGTCCTGAGGACCGAGGGAGACCGAGAGCCCCGGCGCGGCCCGCACGGCTACTCCCACAAGCCCAAGCGCGGCGGCCGGGACGGAGGGCGGGCGCTCCCGGCAGGCCCCGCGCCGGGCACTCCCGGCAGGCCGCGGGCGGGCCCTCGGGGCGGGGCGCTCCCGGCAGGCCCCGCGCCGCGCCGCCGCCCGCCGGATTTGAACGTCGCGGCTGGTCGGCGGCGGCGCCATGGGAGCTCCGTCGTTGCCTCCGGCCTGGCAGCTGTACCTCAAGGACCACCGCCTCTCCACGTTCAAGAACTGGCCCTTCCTGGAGGGCTGCTCCTGTACCCCGGAGCGGGTGAGCCGGCCCGGCCTCCCGTTCTCCCCGCCAGGTCCGCCCCGCCGCGGCCCGGCCGAGGCGCCACGTCCCTCCCGCCCGGCCCGGCCTTCCCGGGGCCCCTCCCGGCCCGACCCCGGCCCGGCCTTCCCGGGGCCCCTCCCGGCCCCGGCCCTGCCCCGGCCCCGGCCCGACCCCGGCCCTGCCCCGGCCCCGGCCCGACCCCGGCCCTGCCCCGGCCCCGGCCCGACCCCGGCCTTCCCGGGGCCCCTCGCGGCTCCGGCGGCTCCGGACGCCCCCTCGTCGGGGGCTGCCCGCCCCGCGGTGGCCGCCACTCCCGTTCTAACTGCTGTTTCTTGCAGATGGCCGAGGCCGGCTTCATCCACTGTCCCACCGAGAACGAGCCTGACTTGGCTCAGTGTTTCTTTTGTTTAAAGGAGCTGGAAGGATGGGAGCCCGATGACAACCCCATGTGAGTCCTCCCGGACCAGCCTCGGTGGGGCCGCCTGGGGACCCTGGCTCCCACCGGAAGCCTTTCGTGTGAAGTGGGCGTGGGGTTTGAGTTTCTCGGGCGATTCTGCCTAACCTTACCTACACCTTAGCCAGCTGTTGGGGACAGCTTCATCTTCATGCACCTAGCCAGATCTGATTTGAATGTTAAAGGCCCATCCCTAGAGAGTGTTTGATGCCATTTGAAACTCCAGCAGGATACAGAACCTACTTCTGGCCTGTGGGTACCCAGGAATCTGCTGATGCTTTCTGCAACTTGGATTTTTACTTATTACTTTGTGTGTGTGTGCTGGTCCTGCGAGTTGAACTCAGGGCATAGGCACAGTCACTGGGCTGTTTTGCTCAAGAGTAGCGCTCTACCACTTGAGCCACAGCTTGACTTCCAGCTTTTTTGGTGCTTAATTGGAGATAAGAGTCTCATGCACTTTCTAGCCTGGATGGGTGTCAAACCTTAATCCTCAGATCTCAGCCTTCTGAGTAGTAGAATTACAGGCATAAGCCACCAGCACCCAGCTCTGGAACTTTTATTAATTTACTTACTCATTGACTTATTTTTTTGTGCTGGTACTAGGGCTTGAACTCAAGTTCTTGGACTTTCAGCTATTTCTGCTCAGGGCTAACACTCTGCCACTTGAGCCACATCTCCAAGCTGGCATTTTTCAAGTTAATTGGAGCCTCTCAGAGTTTTCTGCATGGGCTGGCTCCCCTGCCCCTTTTCCCCACCCTCTCTTTTTTATTTTTTGTTTTTTTATTTTTGGGTCCGGTCGTGGGGCCTGAACTCTGGGCCTGGGCGCTGTCCCTCAGCTCTTCAGCTCAAGGCTAGCGCTCTACCACTTGAGCCACAGCGCCACTTCTGGCTTTTTTCTTTTTGCTTATGTGGTGCTGAGGAATCGAACCCAGGGCCTCAGGCATGCAAGGCAAGCGCTCTACCACTGAGCCACCTTCCCAGCCCCCCCCCACCCTCTCTTTTTGGTTGTGGGGCTTGAACTCTGCCCTGTCCCTAAGCACTTTGAACCATAGCGCCGCTTCCAGTTTTCTGGTGGTTAATTGCAGGTAAGGTGTCTCACAGACTTTCCTGCCCAGGCTGGCCTTGAACTGTGATCCTCACATCTCAGCCTCCTGAGTAGCTAAGATTACAGGCATGAGCCACTAGTGCCTGGCGCTGGTTTCTCTTTCTATATTGTTTTCTCAGCTTTTTTTTCCTGTTAAAATTGATTGCTTCCACAGCATTAATTCCCCCCTACACACACACACACACACACCAGAGGAATCCCCAAACTGTTTCTCTCGTCAGAAATGTTGTTTCTCCCCTATTGTTACCAGGTATTGAATGAGATGGCCAGGTGGTTACACCAGAAATCAGTGGGAAACATCAGTATTGTTTCCTAGCATCATGACATTTTTCCACTGTAGTTACGTTGCCTGTTCTTTTGTACCTTGTGTGGCTGCCTTCACTTTCTAGTTCTGAGCTGGTTACAGTGATGTCTGCTATCGAGGGCTATTCCTTTTGCAGAGAAAGGGGGTAGGAAGGAGAGGAAACCCTCGGGTGACCTGCTAAATTCAGCGTTGCTCTGAGCCAGTGCACAATGGGCATCCCTGTGAAGTTATTTCCAATGGTTCCTTGAGGACTTTAGAAGGTTTCAAGTCATAATTCTTCTGTGTTTTGAATCATACAATACTTTTCTGACTTGCTAAGAGACTCTAGATAGAAGAGTCTAGCTGCCGGGTTTGAGGAAGCACATACAGAACAGAGTGTGGGGCTGTGCCTGGCACCTTATTCTTCAAGCCCTGAGGTGGCTGAGGGTGATGGGAATGGATCTGGTCATGAGCCCTTGCTGTTTTTTGTTTTTGGTTGATTGCAGGGCTTGAACTCTGGGCCTATGTGCTGTCCCTGCGCTCTTCAGCTCAAAGCAAGTGCTCTGCTGCTTGAGCCACAGTGCCACTTCTGGTTTTATTGGCAATAAGAGTCTCACGGACTTTCTTGCCCGGGCTGGCTTTGAACCGCAGTCCTCAGATCTCAGCCTCCTGAGTCGCTAGGATTACAGGCATGAGCCACCGGCGCCCGGCTGCCCTTGCTGTTTTGCTGACATATGTGTGTATTGGTTTTTCTAGAGAGGAGCATAAGAAGCATTCATCTGGGTGTGCATTCCTTTCTGTCAAGAAGCAGTTTGAAGAATTAACCCTGGGTGAATTTTTGAAGCTGGACAGAGAAAGAGCCAAGAACAAAATTGTATGTATCCTTGGGATACAAACCCTATCCACTAGAAGGACTCATGCAGAGGACTGGTTCTCAGAGCCCCGAGGGAGGGCGAGGGGGGTGCATGGGACCAAAGGACAGAGCCACAGCTGTCCTGGCGTGGTCTTGGGTTTGGCCGTAGGAAGACCCGAGCTCTTGGGAAAGGTATTCAGTATGTGCTCCTGGGTTGGTGGAGAAACGGCTGTCATTTGGTCACCCTCCTCTTCCTCAGTGACTTGATGTGACTGTGCTTATGTGGGGGCATTGGAACAGACAGAGGGTTTGGGGCCATATAGAAGGAGGACCATGTTGAGGAAGGGAAGGAGAAGCAGAGGTCCAGCCGGACCTGGAGGACTTCTGCAGCTCTGCTTTGCCCCTTATCCACTGTGGTTTGGGAGAAGGAAGTAACTCTGAGTCACAGAGAGGTGGCCCCAAGAAGCATGTGTGAGAAGAAGAGGAGTAATTTTTGAGTGGAAGCATAGTTTACATTTTGTGTGAGCATTTACCAAAAATTAATCATTTGTCTGAAGTTCACATCTAATGGGGCAGACTCTATATTTGTAAATGCTAAGATAGGCAGCCCCGTGGCTCTTGGGGAGGCTGGAGACAGAACATGCCATAGCTCTGATTCAGGTCCTGCTTCCATGCAGATCCTCTAGTTTTGTTTTTGTTTTTTTTGGGGGGGTCCCAGCCCAAGATCCTCTAGTTTTTGAAGCAACAAAATAGGAGAGTCAATTGGAATGCAGATGAGCTTAGGGAATGAGCTTATTGTGAAGATACACAGAGCCTTTTTCCTGAACGGTTTGTGAAACTTGTGAGGAAGATTGCGTAAAGTGCCAGAGACGGCAGGCCTGAGTGTGACCAGCAGTGCAGTATTGCCTTCTGTTTTTGTTTTATTTTTTTTGTCAGTCGTGGGGCTTGAACTCTGGCTTGGGCGCTGTCCATGCACTCTTCAGCTCAAGGCAAGTGCTCTACCGCTTGAACCACAGTACCACTTCCGGTTTTCTAGTGGTTTATTGGAGATAAGAATCTCACGGAGGGTCTGGGAAGGTGGCTCAGTGGTAGAGCGCTTGCCTTGCATGCATGAGGCCCTGGGTTCGATTCCCTAGCACCACATAAGCAAAAAGAAAAAAGCCAGAAGTGGCGCTGTGGCTCAAGTGGTAGAGCGCTGGCCTTGAGCTGAAGAGCTGAGGGACAGCGCCCAGGCCCAGAGTTCAGGCCCCACGACTGGACCCCTCCGCCAAAAAAAAAAAAGAAAAAAAGAATCTCACGGAGTTTCCTGCCTGATCTGGCTTTGAACCGTGATCCTCAGATCTCAGCCTCCTGAGTAGCTAGGATTACAGGCGTGAGCCACCGGTGCCCGGCTTGCCTTTTGTTCTCGAGACAGTGTCTCACAAGGAAGCCCAGGCTGGCCTCAAATTCATGGTCCTCCTGCCTTGGCCTCCTGAGTGCTGGGTTAATAGGTGTGGGCCTACACCTGCGTCGCCGCGATCATCTGTACATATCATTAAAGCTGAGTCCCCTGCAGTGGGGCAGGGTGAGAGCAGCAGCAGCTCAGGGGAGGGGAGAGGGAAACCTTCTGTGCTTTTTCCATCTTTCCATTCTTAGCAAGCAGTTTAATGACAAGACTCGCTCCCTGTGGCCGTGCGTTCCTCCAGCACAGTGCACTGGCTCTTAGGTACTCGAGGATCCCGTTTTCTGCTCGTACGCTCAGGGTGCTTGCTTGTTTCATGTGAATATGTGAATATTTTGATTGCCAATTCCTGGGCAGACCCAAGGGGTCCCACTGCTAAACAAGAGCCCTCCTTCTGAGAGCCCCACTCTGGGCCTGAAAGACTCCTCATTA